AATTACCATAATGAATTATTATTTTGAAGGTTATCGTAAAAAAGATTATGTGGTCTATAATGAACTATGGTTCATTGTTCACTAACATCAAAATGTAGACATCATTGTAGACCACCTAACTTTTTCCACGATAATCTTCAAAATAATGTGGTAAAATAATACAACAGAAGAAAGTTGCTTACAAAATAATAAAGCCAAATGTGCACACAAAACTATTGTACAATGAAAAAAATAGGTATAACAAAAACATAAAAAATGCGCAAAACTTAGGAAAAAAAACTTACTTTACAACCCAACATTCTTAAAATGTAATATTACATGGCCAGTTGACTGGGGAGTTGAGGAGGGGTTCAAATGCAAGTCACTGCATGATAACAGCACAATCTGGTTGCATTTACGAAATATCGCAATGATTTATAGTGTACTACTGGTTCACTGTTGGACTACCTACTCTACCTTTAAGTAATTAATATAATAGAGACGAGAATATACAGAACGTTTATTTTGATCATCTCAAAAATCTTTTCGCGGTGCGACTACAGTCCGTCATGACAACATCAAAACACAATATATTCATAGATGTATGTTTTGTGATCATCATTTCCATTAAAATTCATTCTTCGGTTGAAATTATGTGGTCTCTAGATGTGTCAGCGATTCTTTTCTTCACTTTGTGCAAGCTTAGCTCATAAAACAGCTCGATTTTCCAAAAAAACGCGGAATGAAATGCATTGCGCGACCATAACCGCGGAATTCCGTGTGAATGGCCGCGTATGAAACTCAATGGTTTTACCTACTTTGGATGATAAAATGTTATCGTTAAGCTGCAGCTTAAACTTGGATGAGAAATGTTGGAGCGATTTAGTTGAGGTGATTGAAGTATCAAGATCTTTTCTATTTAAACTTTAGAAATAGAAAATAGAAAAGTTATCTCTCGTATTTTTAAGTAAAAGTTAACAGTTTGATTAGGAGCTAACATCATTCTACAGTGTACGAAATTAAATGCTTATTTTATTAAAAAATTGAGAAAATTGTGCATTTAGAATATAAAAAACTTGCGTTATCGATTATTGCTGTTCAAATAACTAAAATAAATAAAGTTTAAAATGCAAATAATTAATGGGAAAATTCATAATTTTCAAGTTCTATTTTATCTACTTCACTTATCTCTTATTTGGCTCATTTCTGTAATAATTAACTGCGTTTCAACTCTTTGTGCTTTGCATTTTATACTCTGCGCAGCACTTCATTTTTCATAAACTTGGAGGTGAACTTTACGCGGTATCCTAGTGAAATCTTGAAGTCGCTTTTGTCCCTTCTTTCTTTAGCATTCATGAATTCAATTATCTGTTGTATTTCCCAAGGATGCCATATGTCTACCAATTTTACAATTTGGCTTATGCCGTAGCGTTTTTCGTTACATGCACGACAGAAATAGAACGATGCCACACGGATAACGAGAATTTTTCGTAAGCGGAAAGAAACTAGCATGTGCATTTTTCATCGTTTCGTAGAAGGATACGACAAGATGCCGCCAGTCGCGAGGAAATGTAGCCATATTTAATACTTTGCACAAAATTGAGATAAGGTTAAACAAGAATATTACTTGCCATAAAGTTATAATATAAACTTTGGTTTCCTGATTGTGCACATTACATTATTTCAAAATGTTGTGTAAATTTTACTAAAGTAACGTGAATCTTTCATGAAATTATTGTCTTAGCAGAAATATTTATCTCGATTACAATTATTATGGTTGAAAATGGACCAATCAGAATTTTCTCTCTGGCTAAATTTATTAGAATTCTAGTTGAGATAACCAAAATTTTGGTTGATACAATATTTCTGGTAAAATCTACTAAGATTCTTGTTTTTTTACCAGAATAATTATATCAATCAGAATTCTAGTTATCTCAAAACTAGAATTCTAATAGATTTAACCAGAAAATTCTCATTCATCCATTTTTCACCAGAATTACTATTTAATTCAACCAGATCATTTTTCTCATAATACCATTACATTAATGATTGATAGTAATATCTACAGTAATACAATATGTTACATTGATTTAATAACTTTATTATATAATTGTAATGTGTAACATTGGAATATAATTTAACACTGTTTCTGCTTAACAAATAATATAATTCAATTTCATCTCTACGATAAATCACTATTTTGTGATGTCATTAGATATGATAATTATGTTTATTATGTGGAAAAGTATGTTCATGCTAAAGTAGTGCAAAGATAAATTAATTTTCTGTTAAATAGTGCTTTGATAATATTCCCCGTATATTACATTAACACAAGGATTCTTGTCCCTAGACGCGATTATCACGATGTAACCGTGTTCGTTGCAGAAGAGATTTATACAGCGCGAATGTTCATGCTGTAATTGCTCGTATTTTTACTTGTCTACGGATTCGCTTCACAGTGCTTAAATTCGTATCCTTGCGCCTTTGTTCCAATTTTCGTGGGCGGGCTGCAGTGCAAACGCATATATGGAATGCAAATTCCGTGCGTTCTCCACCGGAAAGACACGCGAGAAAGGGTGAATGCTAACGATACGAGTACGAAGTATAGTAAGACTTTATAGTAGGACATCGCCTATATTGTACTCCTTAAATTTAACAAAATTGTAACAAAAGTACTGAAGAGTACAGAATATTTTTGTGCTTGCATCAAATTTTGGTTTATTGACAATAAAGCAAAACACTTTTGTACTTAAATGTAGCATATAAAGACCAACAACAAGGACAATTTACCCTTTCTTTATTTTTACAAATTTGCCAACAACAATATAATTTATAAATATTTGGTTAATTTGATGCTATACTCAAAAAGAGTTTGGATATCAATTATAACCTTGTAATACGTTATAATTCAATTACTCATCTTGTACTGATAATATTTTAAGTAAATTGTACGAAAACTTACAATGACATCAAACACCGAACAAAATCAATTTTGAATGTCACTCGCGCGCGTAAATGGCTCGAAGACAAAACAAAAATGGCAATACTTAAGCCGTATTACTAGCGTCACATCTGTGTCGTCACCTTTAAATAAAAGTATTTTGTTTATAAAATACAATGGAGGTACGATTTCGCCAACTTCATCTTAGAGAACAGGGATTTGCATCAATTTTATTATTTTTAATTGTTAATATGAAATGTTATACGGGTATCACTTTCTTTCAGCTGTAGATATCAAATTAAAAGGAATACTCTTTACATAGTAAGTAATACTCTTATATGTAAGTACGAAAGTATTTTATATATAATAAATAAATTAAGCTAAAGAATTTTCTCGATATTAAAGAAAGAATATTCTTTTTAACTCGGTATCTACAGCCGAAGGATAATAAGATTACGTATTAACAATTAAGAACAATAAAAAAATTAATGTAAAGCCTTCGTATTTTACCAGCAATAAATACATTAAGATAAAAAATTGTCTATAATTTTCAACTCGTTCATATTTCAACATTATTTTATTTTTTATTTCGAAATTGGATTATTAAGCTTTTAAAAATCATCGAATTTTTATTAAAAATAGTTTCCTGAGAAAAATTAAATTAAGTCGAAATAGGAAATTATATGTAACTGTAGTGAATATGTTCACTAAACGTAGCAAGTATAAAATGCACAAATTGATAAAATTCATGCCACGAAGAGAGTTGTATAATATTGCTAAAAATTTCAATACAGATATTGCGTTTTCGTTTGGATTTTGATTGATGGAAAATTACTGGTACTTGTTCAGCTTTAAGCCAGTTCAACTTTACGATATCTTATTCCTTGAGATGTCGATAAATGTCGATAAACTCCTGCCGCAATATGAAACTTTAGCCCAAGTATCAGCTCCTCGATATATCCACTAGCTATTTACAAGTCCAAATACTTCACTAATCTGTGCATTAATCCATTGAATCGACTTAATACCTATTAATTATTAGAGAGAGAATTTTTAACACGACAAATTAATAGTAATTCGTAACACTTAGACAGCTAAACACTATATTTTTATGTTGTTTCAATATGTTTTCCTAAAATGAAAGCAATAATAAACGCGTTTTATTTAATTTCCAAATGTTCAAATAAAAGTAAGACGAACGCTACGTAAAAAATTTTTAAATCGTTCTTGTAAAGTTAATTACCAAGTTAAATTTATCAAGTTTCCTCAGATAATAAACATATTAAGATGTAAAAACTTTTAAGTCATTAATAACACTAACAAATTACTCGAAAGTTACGAAACTTTATGAACCACAGATTCGTGGTTTATACTTCGAACGATTAAAATGTTTATTTGTAATGGGGTATGTAGAGAGAGAGAGAGAGAGAGAGAGAGAGAAAGTGGTAAAGTTAAAAATAAATAAAGAGCGCAAAGAAGAAGAGATAGGGCTCTGAGGAAACGCCGTGTAATAAAAAAGCGGTAGCGTAGTTTAAAGAAAAAAAAAACAAAAAGGGTGATTTATTCAAGAAAGATAAACTGCAGGTCGTAATGGTAAAAAGCAGGATGGGGAAAAAGCGAAACTTGGAGAGAGAAAGGGATAGGAAACAAGCAAAGAAATAAGGAAAGAGTAAGGAAAGTCAGAGAAAGAGAGAGACGAGGACTGCGGGGCAGAGACAGAGAAAGAGAGAGTGTTCAAAGTTGTATTCGCGAAGTGTATTCACGAAAAGTAGTTGAGAACTCCGAGGATTGGGGTGGCTACAGAAGCGATGGGATAGGTAGATAGATGGAGTAGGTTTGGGCTCGTGCAGTCGTAAGAAGATAAACGTTGCTTGGACACCAACAGAATGAAAGAGACAGAGAGAGAAAGAGAGAGAGAGAGAGAGAGGGGGGGGGAGTAGTCATTCCTGAGTTATCCCGCTCCCATTTCTTGCATTTTCCTCGAAGCGAGACGATGCGACGCAAGCGACGTGGACGAGAGAGATCGTCGCAACTGATTGCGTGCAACTTCTCACTGACTGCTGATTGTGATTGGACACAGGGCTGGTAAGTGGCGGTTTCCACGAGAAGAGGCTGCTGAACGACCTGCTGGACTCGTACAACGTGCTGGAGCGGCCGGTGGGCAACGAGTCCGAAGCCCTCGTGCTGAACTTTGGCCTCACGCTCATGCAAATAATCGACGTCGTAAGTGCCCAATTATTTTCTTCAGCTTCTTCATCCGGCGTTGGACTGATTTTCCCTCGGGTCTTCAATGTTTAGTCGAATTCGTCCCTTTCATAAATCCTTTTCTTTGTTATTCTCTTACTATTTCTATTCTTTTATGCTATTTCTAAAAAAAAACATGCGCTAATCTTTAAGACATTTTTACAGATCTTTTATATTTTTTTATCTAGGATCTCTCTTTTCTTTCGGAAAGAGCGATAATAGCTGATTTCTATTAATATCTGTTTAGTGTAGTAAGAATTAATAAAAAAGAATATTATAATTAAAATCGATTTTTTAAATCTTAATAATCACAGTTTATATGTATATCACTGTAATATCATTTTGGCATAAACGTGTTCCATATTACTATTTTATTCATATTATTAATATTCTATATCACTATATTATCCATTTTATTAATATTAATATCGGTGATGTATAAATTAAACGTGCATCAGTACGTATCCTGTCATGAAGATGATACTCATATCAGATAATGTGACATATATCAGAAGTCTTGAATAGTCGTGAGAGAAACGATAATATATTCTTGAGCACATTAAAACAATGTATTATATATATTTAATTAACGTTCCTATATTTGCTTCGTCTATAAAATTTTTTATATTTTTTTAATTCTATATAAAACTAATTTTTAAAAATAACTTTAAAGGTGTGATTAACTATTAAAGTGATTAAGTATTAAAGTAATAAATATCTAAAAAGTTTTAATGAATAATACAATTGAAAGGTTCTGAATATTTGTTTAGTGATCTGTAATATCTTTCAGATTATTTCTGTAATGTTTTGTGTTGTTAGATATCAAAAGAGCAGGTGTAATCCAATTCCTTGAATCGAATAATATTTTATCGTTTTTAATTTTTTTTCATGTGTGTCTACATCAATCCATTTCTGTGGTTTCAAAGCAAACAACGTCCATATTAACGTATGCTTTTAGTAAATAATAAATTAAATTTGAGTGTAAAATTTAATATATTTTCTTAAGTTATAAATTATTTAACTTTATAGTTTTAATTAAATTAACGACTTATCGAATAGAAACAGTGACAAACTATAGACATGATTAAAGATAACTTAAATTGAATATAATTTTACATTATAAATTTAATCATCAAATTAAAAAAATGCGATGGATTACATACACACATTCTATGTATAATATGTAGATTTACATATTTATCGTTGACAAATACGCATGTACTCTTTAATTATATATATTTCCAGTAATAAAATAAAGAGTCACCGTGATGAGAAGAGTCTACGATTTATAGACGCGTATCAATGTAACATATAACATGCACACCAACGAATAAAAGTATTCGCAAATTCCGAAGTTGTGGTTTCAAGTTCGCCACAGATGAATCGCGTGCACTGATCAACGTCACAGATCGACGCTCAGCATTCGCCTAGTTCTATAGACTATAAATTGAAGTAACAGCATCGAGATTGTCTTTAGAAAATCGCTTGTCTTGACTATTTGTGTATTTGATTATGAGCACTCTGATAAAAGATGTTTCTATCATATATAGCTTCATTAAGTTTGTGTATTTCTATAAATAATTAAAAAAGAAAAGATATCATCTTGTGATTTTATATATATATGTATTTATATATATCAAGATTACATTAATCCATCAAAAATATGAATATGAAATATTATAAAATTACAAGAAATTAAATTGTAATTTGGATACAAAAATTCACAGGAGCAAATTAAACAAAAATCGATACATTAATCTAAAAATCTGTTGAGTCTCGTGTCTAATCTTTTCAATTTCAACGTTTCAATGAAACGTTTCAACATTTTTCGATAAAAAAACATTTCAATATTTTATTAATTCTGTTGAGTACTAGACATATTTGTGCGTACGTTGCATTTATAACATATTAGTTTCTTTTAAAAAGCAATTTATTAATTAGATTGGAACAAAAGTCAGCTGTCAAGTAACAATTTCATAAAAGGAAGAAACTTAATTCTACCGTGTTTAACTTCGCGAATGAAATACACCACTTCGTCCATCCTTCTATTTCCGCGGTTTGCGTTGGCTCGGCGAGGTCATAATGGCGGAGTTAACGGACAACTTCCGCAAAGATGCAATGACCGAATCCCGTGTCTCGTATGCGAAACAGGAAGTTCTTAATTTCCGAAATCGTATTGTCGATCGGAGCCGCGACGGTTAGCTCCGATCTACCTCACGGCTTACTCACTTTCAGTCGAGAAAGGCAATATCGCCAGTTTCATGGTTCACGCGTGGCCCCGAGTATAAATAACGTGCATGCACACGAGCGTACACGCCACGCGCTTTGCACCGCCGTTTATCTTCGACGTTGCACGCTGCAATTTTCGACGCAGCGCCAGGGGATGCGCGATAAACTACCTAGAAGGATATCGAGTGGGACGTGAACGCGGTATTGCGATCATACTGGGTGTAATAATAATGTTCCGGTATTAATATTGAGAGAGCGCGTTGTGATAGTCTGTCCACCGATTCAAAAGTTTATTTACCAAACCAGACATGCCCCTCGAGCAAAACATTTTTCGTATGTCGGATTATTTTCTAAAATAACATTAGTGTGTGTATCTAGTATTCTTATGATATTAGCATCTGCTTGTCAACATTGCTGTGCGTCTTTCGTAACTGAAGTATAAATATAAAAAAATTTTATATGCCAATTAAACAATTTATTTAAAATCACCGCACGTTTATATATGCATTGAGAGCACGACGCGGTGATTATTAAAAAATGTAATATCCTATGATTTAGAAAATATTCGTATCGCGAAATACAAATCGAAGTGTATATGTACGTGTTGCTTTTAAATTTTTCAAAGGAATATGAATAAAAAACGAGTTTAGCTTTTGTTATCTTGTTATGTCAAATACGTAATATGTGGATCTTGTTCTTTATTTTTCTTATTATTCTTGAATTAGGTTGTGTATGACTTCTATCTTTCCTCAAATGTTTATTGCACTATAACAAAACATGTGTATATATGAGTATCAAAGAAAAAAAAATTGTTCTCAATTTAAAACGATTACATTCTATTCAATGCAATCATTGTTTCCTATATAAGCAACAATATAAAATCCTTTCTTTAAAGAATTTGATATTCTCAAATTTTAACAATATTATTTTTTTATATCAAACCGTATTATATTCTTATATCAACAATATTATATTCTAGTTCTCGATTTGAATTGTTATAATTTTCTGTCGATATTATTTCCTCTTAAATTGAGAAAATTATTATTGAATAACGAAAACATATTTTTCTTGGTATAAGATCAAATTTTTTCATGTAAGCAAATTATGTCGATTTAACGCTAAATAATCTTATTTTAAGCCCTATGTAGAAAATAAAGATATTTTCAAAATAAGAATAGTTTTTTTGTTGTAATACACTAAAAATATTTACTAAATTTTAATAAATATTTGTTTGAATACTATCTAAACATTTACTAACAGTAAATAAATATTTACTCAATACAAAAAATTATTATTTAAATTAATGGTTTTTATATCAAATAAGTATATGCTCAGATTTACAGTAAATATTTAGTTAGTATTATTGCAACAAATATTTATTAAAATATTTAATAAATTTTTTTCTAGTATATATAAGTTTCAGTATATTTTTGAATATATATATATTTATCTTATGAACCTATGTGAATATCCGCAATGTATTGAGTTTGCTTCCGTGGGATTGCAAAGTCCAAATGACTGTGTGGATCAGTCATCCCTGCGGGCTGCGTCTAGATTGCACACCGCTGCATGTTGCTGCCATCTGCATCCTGTGTACTCATGCACACGTGTCACTGCCTATCGCTTCTGCGCATTCGGACATTTCGGTGTATGCTATTGCAATCGCTGCGGATATCCATAAAAACCTAGCTATATGAAAAGTGCATGTGAAATAGTAACTTATTTGGAATATCCAATAAAACTACCATGCATGCTAAGATAGATATTTGCGCGATCTAACAACTCCTCTGTAAAACGTAGTGGCCATCAGAAATATAGCAGAAAGTACTTTTCGATATCCATCATCAAACATTTCAGCAAGCGAATTTTAAACCAAAATTTTGTTGAAATAAAATTAAAGAATAGCAATCTAGGATTGCAAACACGAAGCTAAACTCATGAGAAAAAGCTTATAAAAATACCTATTTTCAATGACATTTAATTCCAAATTATTTGTAAAAAAGTGACGTCCTTTTAAAAAAAATCGTAGCTCTCATTGTAAAAAAGTAATTTGTATTCCGCATATAACGAACGTACTCTCTAATTTTATTTTCAAACAATCAATAAGATGCTTTTAATGTCATCGCACACTGAATTAATCGACGGAAATTTAATTGTAGGGTGACGGTATGCAGCGTGATATCGCTACCCGTTCTTCTCTATAGTCCGATAAGTATGAAGAAATACGGTGATCTATTTTTTTTTCACATAGATTCAGACACGTCTCACACGTACATACGTCACTGGATATAAAAACATTGTTGTCAATAAATAAATATATGCAAAGAAGTACGTGTACAAATCTTACTATGGCTATTAAAAAATCGCAAGGTCAATGAATAGCGAACTAACGTTGATGTATCGCTTTTTATCAGCGAAAAGAGAAAATTTTGAAATTACTCTCCAAAAATATACTATTTAATCAATTTGTAGTAATTAATGCATATCGATGCCGTTAATACTATTATAAGTGACATAACGGACTTACTAGATTTATTAACTTTGGAATTAATTTACATTTGTTCAACCTGGACATGTTTTCTTACTTTACTTTTTTCTTTTATAACATATTTTTTTCATAATCGGAAAACATAGGGTTTTCTTTTATAACATATCAGTTGATATTTATGAATTTTATTCATGTATTTTCATATATTGTTTGTATTGATATATGAAAAGCAGAAGAACATAAAATTAAAAATCTCGTATTT